CCTCGATCTGCTTTGAAATGGTTTACAATTTTGACAACATGCACTGACTAGCCTAATCGACAGCCGTGTTCACTAATCAGTTTTCTTGAAATGTTGGACGAAAACCAAGCTTTGCAGGCCATGCACGTTGCGTTGTTGAGTGTTCCTGGGTTTATAAACGCAGTTAAGGACGTTACATAAATGGCCAGGATGAGCTTTTATAGCTCAGATCCTTTGTGCTCTGCGCACCGATCACAAGTTGTCAACCGGGCATACCCAGTTAGAAACCGTCCCGTAATCTAAATTAGCACATTGCTCTTGTAGGCTGGCTTTCGTCCAAACCAAAGCACGGTGTAAGGGAGCAATAAACGTACACAAACAAGGAGCCCAGAGGGATTTTCCTTTACTGATGTGAGCGTTGAGTACAATGCTCCGATGTCATGCACAACTACCATACGTATGGCAATACCCTTCTTACATTAGGGTTTGCGTCCTTCGTGAGACAGCTGCCGGCTGGGGCACATCCATGTCTATTCTCGCGTGGCCATCTTTGTATTGCCCAGCCTTCGGAATGGTACCTGACGCATCCCGGAATCAACATGCTCCACAGGAAGGCCAGGCTCGAAGTTTTGATAGGCAAGAGCAATCTTGGTATCGCGAGTCGAAGATGGTAACATTGAAGACGGCAATTTGGCGTCCAAGCGTGTCACAAAGGCCTCTACGAACAAAATTCCAATGGTGCATATGCCATCTCCGTTCGTACTGCAAACGGGGTGATTACCCTCTCAGAGGCACCATGGGGGAAGTCCTCCTAAATTCACTCTCTATTGCGAGCAAGATACCTAATCTCACCTAGGCGCGATGACCTGGCCCGGAGCTTGTTGAGAAGACGTCAAGCCAGTGTTATGACAACAATATTCCGACTCACTGGGGTCTTCATGACCAGGCGTTGACGCTTCACGTCAAAAATAAGTTATGGCGCAGTGCGGGTGGTTTTTCTCAGGCCCCTTAAGGATCCGCTAAGAAAGTCCGCCTCAATAGGCATGTAGCAGGATCGGATTACGAAATGATGACCTACGGTCAGATTGCCGCATTAATGCTGGTCCGTGGAGCGTTCCGCTAGGGGCAAAACTCCTAGTCTCAAGAAGGCAAAAAGGGAGCGTTGAACTTCATGGGTTCCATCTCAACATCTCTTCTTGCAACTATGACGAGGGGGGGAGCTGTTCGAAACAATGCGACGGCCTCGACTTGGCGACCACATTGACGACCGCTGGTTGATTGGGGTTCTTTGGTGTGACGTTGCCCGCCGTGGGGAGAGGGACCGCCAATTCGCAATTGTCGCCAATCCTCGGATAAGGGCGAATGAGGCTTGATGGCATTGAGGGTAAGGTGTGTTGTAGCGCATGTCACGCGCCAGTCGCGAAATGTTTCACTGTTTTTAAAGTGCTGCCCAAGACAACCTAAGCTTTGCGGGATGCGGGATGTGAGATGCCTATCAAGATACAGATACAGTACCGGGCCAAAATTGGCTCACATTTCAGTGTTCGAAATCTGATGGAACAAAAGTAATATAAAATCTGCACTGCTTCGTCATTTGGGTTTCGACACCGTGGTTCGTTGGGCATCAGCGCTCAGACATAAAGTTTGAGGTGTGAAGTTCAGCGGACATAATGGAGCCCCAATGGCACACCGAGCTTGAGGTCAGCCAGCCCGCTGCTCATCAATAGAGACAGAGGCTTGAGAGGCTTGAGATGAGACCTGTAGATCTTGCAACTTTTTCCTTGGGTGCATTTGAGTTTGTGGGGCCGAAACATCAGAGAGTAGGGACAAGACCGGTAGCGATCGACGCTGGTACGACAGATGTGCAGACACCCCGTCCGAAAGCTGTGCGAGCAAATTACAGAGACAGGGGTCGTCGGTATTGGCTGCAGTGGGTGCGGAATGGAGAACGAATGTTCATTTACTGGTTGAGGTGGAATCTGTCCATCCAAGCGTCGTAATGAAACAGAGGGATGGGTGGTGATTCAATTTGGCCCAAGGCGTTCCGTGTCGGTTATGCGCTGACAGGAATTCCGGCTCGTGGTGACAACCGATGACGTGCTGTAAACTGACAAGAAGAGTTGGCATGTTAGCCGCACGTATCGAGATAGCCAAATGTCCTCCGATGCGGTTAATGTACGCCAACCGGTAAGAGATCTGCTAATGGTTTAGCGGACCCAGAATTTGATCCGGCAAAGGTGCAGGTGGGTGCTCCTTGGGACGACGAATAACTGTTCGTTGGATGCGAATAAGGAGCTGTTGTAGCAGGTGCGCATCGATCTAGCGTGCTTGCCCTGCCATCCTGCCGCACATGACCCTGTTCTCGATGGCTTCCTTATTGGAGGGAGAGAAGATGATACGATTCAGTATTCCAATCGACTGGGAGAGGAGCCTTGGGTGGAGGAACCGCTGGCTGACTGGACGGCGAAGGACGGTTCTTACATCCCCATTGATCGCGGATGCACCGAGATGGGGCAAGATGATGCGCTAACTGCCCATGAGGAAGGACCCCTGATTTGTATCGACACCGTTGGTTCCCAGGGCTCAGTTTCCATGGCGGGGGCGTTGGAAGACCGGTGAAGTGGCTAGCTGGTCGGCGGTGACCATCCATGATGATCCAGCGGCAAGTAGATGGGGCAGCTGGACCCAAGCCGGTCTCTTTGTCTGGGTCGATACGAGAGGCGCCGGTTCAGGTTACGACGAGAAAACCCTGAAGGCGAAGTATGACGGGAAGAGGCTGAAGCATCCATTGGTCTGTAATGCAAAGTCAGTTAAACAGCCTGCCGCAGGCGGTTTGCGTTGCTATTGCATTTTCTGACGTGTTGCTTCGGTGAGGCAAGAATACACGACCTAGGAAGCAGGCCGTATCGTTCAAGGTGGTACAAACGCGAATATAGCCGCCCCGGCGGAAATACCGTTGGTAAGACCAGTAAATATCGATTTTCGAGCGGGTCGCACGAGAGAAAATTATGGCTTGGCTTCAATATGCTGATGGGTTTCGCCGTTTGAGACGGTGTAGGCCAGCCGAGATGCCTCTAGGAGCCGGAACCCGATCTGTTGCTCCAGTGGCGGGGGCAGTATTATGGTGTGGACCCGGAATCGAGAATGATGTGGCAGGGGAGGGCACCTAGTCTTCTCTCTGCCTCGAGGCTAGTGTATCGTGGAGAAGGAGGAGGGTAGAGAATGTGTAGCCTGACACTGATGGGATGTATCTTTGTGCTTCTGCCAGTGGTCTCGGCGGACGGTAAAGGCTGTGACATATGCAGTCCGTCCAGCGGTTAAGCCCGATACAGATAGCCAGGTTTAGGGGGTGCATAAAGCGAGCAGCAGGTAAGCAATAGCGATGCGCGGTGCGACCAGTTGAGAGCTGGCTTGCTGGCGAGAGGGCTCTTTGAAGCCTTGACCAGGCGGAGCGGCTGCGGGTGGATTGTGAACTGTCACAAGGCAAATTCTGTCAACCAGATTGTCGGAGTGAAAATATGACAGACGAAGCTCGGCTGCACGAGATGACGGGGTGAGCCGGGGCACTTTGCAGCATGTCCGAGCACAAATAGAAGCTCGGTCAAAGGCCGCCAGCCACATTGGGCTAGGAACGAGAAGGAGTTGAAGACATGGGCAAGATATGACGTACGGGGGGGTGGTGGTTGGGATGTGGTTGATGGGTGGGTTGGTAATGGGTTCTGTGTAGGTCGGATGGATTTTCTCTCCATTTACTCCGACACCCCTGAAGGAACGAAAGGGTAAAGAAATGGATGTGATAGGAGAGGAAATGGATGGCGGGCGGCGGTGGAAGGCGGAGCTGGAGAATGGGAACAAAACAGAATAAGCTGGAAAGTGAAATAAAACACAACAACAGGAAAGCAAGTGAGTGGAAGGAACGCTGGGCACAGATGTACAGAGTGAGGTAAGGCACACACCAAACCCAGAGATGGATCAAGCTTACCTAATACATATAACCCCGTCAAATCGCTTTTCTTTATTTTTCACACTTGCCCCAAGCCATCAGTGCAATACTACATAGTGGCACGATTGAAAACAAGGCAGGATAGAACCAGAAAACGGTCACTTCATCCACTGTATAATGTGCACTGTTTGTACTGGGAAGGTGGTTTGGTATTTTTTGCTATGGTCTGTTGTAGAGCACTGGACTGGAGGGAAGCTATGGGTAGCTCTACTACGGTAATCGGCTAGATGTTTTGGGGCGCTTTTTACCCTACAGGGCTTCAAGAGGCGGGTTACAGCACGTGGCCGCTGTATCCTCCCAGTGTTGGGCACCATCCAGTTTTTTTTTTTTTTTTTTTTCCTCTTCAGGAAAGAGTGGTGGGGGGATCATGGGTGGTGCTTCTTTGTGGAAGTAGTGTAATAAAAGTAAGTTTAGGCAGACCACACACAGAGTAAGGGAAGGAGCTCTGGGTGTTCATCGCACCTGACATTGGACTGTGAGATTGACTACCTTCTTCTACCCTTCCCTCTCTTTATCCTCATCTTCCCCTTCCATGTGAATGCTTCCTTTCACTGTTTTCAGCTTGGTAACATACCGGCTCGCGGTGAAAACTTGGACCGAAGTGGCTTTAATTAGAAGGAGAGGGGAAACCTTACAACAACCTCAAATGCAGTCGGGTTCGGGCCTGGCTCCGGTCTGAGTCTCGTTCTCAACCCTCGTCATCAAAGCTCGTCATTGCATGCGATTCGATCGTCTGTCCACTATGTCCTGTTTCATCAAGGGCGAGAGCCCATTGTCACCCCCAAAGTTCAGACAACCGCGCAAAGAACTACCGACTCTCACTTGGAATGGCAACACTCAGGGTCAAATCTCGCTCAAAGAAGTCAGCGCCTGGTTGACACGAGGCGATGCCAGGACATGGACATGGATTACACCCGGACATGGGCTAAGTACTTGGGAGTACAGGATTCGTGCCATCTACTGACCCCTGGTCACGGGCATCTGACGTCCAGAAAAGCCCCGGCCAGCGTACGATACGATGCACCGCGATGTGATGCGCCGCGGCTACGGCTACAGCTATGGAGCACCGTCACAGAGTTCTTCACAGCACACAGTACGGGACCTGAGCCCAACCACTCGCTATCTTGCTACGGGAGCTGCAACCTCAACTGGAACTGGGGCTCTCACCATAGCATTCATCCCTGGCAACGCCTCCAATGCCAGTGGCCCCCCCCTTCTAGTCCTTCCCCGCTCCCTGTCCTTCGGTCTCCCATCCTCCTCTCATTCTCAAGAACCACCCCTGGGCCTGTTGGACTGGAAGGACACAAAGCCCAGGGCCAGGCCCAAGCAACTGAGGTCGCCGTCAGAAAAGACATGGTCAAAAGAAGTAACCGCAAGGTTCTTGACATCGCCGGGGAGAGAGAATGGATCATGGATGGAAATGAAGAGTCCCCAAAAGACAAAGCACCGTTTCCATCTCACGCCACTGCCCAGCATTCACCCGGCAATCAAGATGTCGTTCTGTCTCGACTTTTGCTCCTCCACAGGCCGTCTCATACCGCGGCATATCTGGCTAAGTATCTACACGCCTCTGCTTCAGCCTGTGGCCCAGCCCTGTCTCTATGATACATCATCGTTGGTTTCCAAAAAAGCTGTCAAGGCCCAATCTAGACAACCCCAATCTCGCCAAGACGATGCGACAGACAGACGCGAATCGACCGACACCAATGGCTGATCGCTTGGCGTCGTGCTACTTCTCCCCTCTTCGTCTTCCTCTTCTACTTTTTACCACCGCACCCAGCATCTCTGCCTCCATCCATCTTAGCTGCCACACCACTACTACCACCACCACCATCAACAACAAAGCCAGCGTTGCCAACGATGCGCCAGCCATCACTGGGAGGTGCAAATGCCAACGCCGGGACAGGGATTAGGGGGCTGTCGTTACTGATGACTGACTGGGATTCTTTTACTGCCCCAGTCATCACTGATCCTGATCCCGGTGAACCCCCTGCCCAGCCGCTACCCCCCTCAGCAACCAATCTGCGATCCATCCGTGACAGCAGACCAATTATCGTGGGGCATATTCCCTGCCTGAGATGCAATGACCGCAAAAAGTCGTACCATTTTGTTCGCCATCAGAGATTGCTAGACTCGACCTCGTTTTTTGGGGAGGGGTCCATTGGCACTTGAAGCCGCTGTTCCTAGACTACCAGGCTTCTCTGGCCTGGGGCCGTCAGTAGTTAAAGAGTCGGATGTGCATAGCATGCTTTTGAAGAAGCTGAGTAGGAGACTCAATACCTACCGGTCGTGGGCCAGTCGCCATCACTGGCTTACTACCGCAATCGCCGCTGTGAATGACTGGCTGCAACAACGCTGTTCTCGCAGGTGTCTGGCCACTTCTCTGCAAAGAGCGTCACCGTCAGAAGTGAATGCTTGTCTCGCACCACAATTGTCGCTAGAAGGCCACCTTAACGGTGCCATAAACCGGTGAGAGACTGAAGAAGACACGGCCGGACGGAACGAGTCCAAAAGCTTGAAGCCCGAAATGCAGACAATCTGCACATCAGTCAATCAATCGACCTCACGTCGCCGCCAATCTGGATGCTAAAATCTGGCCCCTTCCTCCGACCCCCCGGCCCATCGAGTGGATGTATACCTGGACAATACGATGCCTTACCTGATCCCCCTTTCATCCCTGTTCGCTTTGACCGGTACATGCAAAGGCGCAGACTGCACACGCATCTCTCTGCTCCTCGCGACAGTTCCCAGTCCAACACACCGCACATCTGGACCCAAGCAATGATTCCTTGCCCTCCTCTCCCCCCCACACAACCCCAAGAACAGTCGTGGAAAGGATCTGGGTTATCAGAAGCAGGCAAAGGGGCATGGACGTACCGCTGTTGAGGCACTGTACCGTAGGCTACCTTAACCTGCCCCCTACCCCCTGTAGCTTTTGCAAGTGCCTGTGTACATATTGTACCTTAGCTGCGTGTGAAATATACGTCCATCCAAAAATCACACCTCGCTCGCCCTGGGTGTCAGTCCCTGATCTCATAACACCTCTGTCATTTCCTCTCAAAACCCACACATCCGCGTTTTCTCTCTTGCCTCCTCTTCTTCCGGTCTCCTCGTTTCTTCTCCTTCGTCACCAAATTTCAATGCATCTCACTCCTCCGACAAACCCAGCACCGATACTGCGACCATTCAGGACCTGACCTATCATCATCTCAACCTCCGAAACTCTCTGGATCGGGTGTCAGATCTAGAGGTACGATCTCAGCCTCGAGACGGAAAAGCACTTGGATTCAGCCCCCGCGCTCAAATAACACGATCTTTGCATACTTGATCGCCTCATTTGCCCGCTTGCTGCACATACCAGACCGGCTACGCGCGACAGCTCTAAGCAACCACGACACGCACACATCCACTTTAGCTGTCTCTCTTCCTCTCCTCTCCCGCTCTCCGTCTATCTCCTTCTCTTCAACGCCTGTTGAAGCGCGCCCGCCCCCAAGACGCTAGACTGCCACCAAAAAGCAACGGCATCGAAAAGAAATTCAGAAATTCCACCGGCCCAGGCCCACGGTATTTTGACACGCCCACGCCCCTCGCCGAGTCTGAGTCTCACTCCCAGACCCCGTCGGAATAGGTTCACCCCGACTAGCCTCAACGAGGCGTCAAGGGATTCTAACAGTGTGTCTTGGACCACATATCCCAAAAAGCCGCCACAAAGAGCAGCGTGGTAACTTGACCGACGCTAGGCGGCTTTTTCTTTCTCAGCTCGGAACCTCTTGACAAGCCCAATTGGAACCAGCATTACCCCCGATCCTCCCCTCATCCCCCCTTCTCATTCTCACACACCACACACCCACACCCCCTAAGAAAGATACATGCGGTGACCTTCCCGTCCCGCCACCACGCACCACACACGCGCCGATAGCTTGATCAGATCTTGCCTACCGGGTACCCAGCTGGAGAAGTTCGACTGATTTAACCTAACCTAACCTCACTTCCTCGTCCCAGGCCAAGCCACACCACACCACCCTGTCTCTGTTTGGTTTGGTTTTTTTTTTTTTTGGGCCGCCCGTCACTCACACTCACACCCTCTCTCGTCTCCACGAATTCTTCCCTGCCAGGCTTTTTATTCTTACATGACTCTGGGCTTCCCACCTTCAATCATTCTCTCTATCATCTCCACCCATTGACAGCAAACTTCACCGGACTCCCGTCTTGACACCGAGCCCACGGACTAGGCCCGCTCTCGTCCCTTCACGCCTCGGTCGAGTCAGATGCACAGAGACTCATAGATCGCATCTGGGGTTCTAGTCAACATTCATCTGTTCTCCCGGTAAACCCGCTATGGAAGCGGGCGGATCTGGTACTAGGCAAAGGTCCGTTCAATTCTCACAGACGCCCCTCCTCCGTTACCTCATCATATCGTTCGCCCTACCCCTTAGACCAGTTCCAGACATTAACCAGTACTTCTTTTTAACAGCCGTCCACCTTCTGCCAGCAAGCCTGATCGCTTTGAAACTCAACTTCCTCCCAGAGAGCCTCTCAACAGACATTACCGTGACGGCCCCGCCATGGCGACCGCAGCCCTTATTAGCCCGAGCACCACCCCGTACGGCCATCCTACATCTTTTTCATCCGGCTACCAGCACGCAGCTCCCGGCCCCAGCATCGCAGGCATGATTTCGCCAGTTGAGCCCCGAAGACCTTCAGATGAGTCCGAGACTCCTCATCGTCAATCGCTCCCTTCACTCTCCGAGGTCATCTCTGGTGCGAAACCCAGCGCGTATCCGCCTTCTCAAGCCTCCAGCATGTCGGGCTCTCAAAGCTTTCCTTCACCCTTCGCACCAGGGCCTCCAAGATCATATGCCGAATCGTCCACCGACAAAAACTCACCTCGACCTCTCCATCTTGCTTCAACCTACCCTCCCAGGCCGGAAGCGTTACCAGCCATCTCTGACGCTCCAAGACCGCCACCTTTTGCTGGTCGCCCTCCTGCACCCATGAGCAGCTTCCCCGGCCCTCAACCCAGCCCGCCTCACAAGCCTGAACATATGCGCGATCCTGATACGAGAGCGCCTGAGCCGACGGGTCCGTATACGCATCATCATGCGCCGCCGCCGCCGCCGCCTCCCACGATATATCCTCATCCTCACCCAAGCCAGCTTCCACCTGGACAGGTTCCCCTTCCGGCGTATCCTGTGTCGCCCCGCCACGGCGGCCCGCCTCTACCTTCGCCATACGACGCCCAGCGTCCTGGAGTTCACGCCGAGGATTCAGAATATGGCCCAGCACGCGCTCAGTACGACCGAACCCTCAATCGCCACTTGGACGCATGGGGCTACCAGGATTGCCTTTCTAGAGTGAGTGGTCCCATGAGTGACGCCATGTCCGTCAAGCTTACCAATAAGTTCTCTCAGATTGCTGGTGCGACGAGGACGATCTACAACTTCGCCGAGGCATATGGCAGAATTGCAGCGGAGCAGCATGGCGCCCATCCTCTGCCTGACAGACTCCCAACGGAGCGCGAAGTGAATGATATGCTCGACAACGTTGAGTACATCAGAAACTCACTGGACTCGGTACGACAGCTTGTCAAGGAAAGCAACGAACGTGCACGGGCGGCTGGAAAGCAAAAAGGATACGAAGACGAGGACACGCCGATGTATGACGGTATGAACAAGAACAGCTACGGCATCACTGAGGTCAAGAAGCGCCGAGGAGTAAGCATTTGCCGCCCTTAACAAAGCCCAAATGAAGGAGCTGACATGCCGCAACAGAGAGCCGCGCCCCCCGGAAGGTGCCATAGCTGCAACAGAATTGATACACCGGAATGGCGACGCGGACCTGACGGTGCCCGGACGCTCTGCAACGCTTGCGGACTGCATTACGCCAAATTGGAGCGGAAGCGCCAGCTTGAAGCACGACAAATCCGCCCTAAACCCTCTGACGAGAGGAGCTAAAATCAAATTACCTAACTCCGCTCATGGTTTTCCCACACCAAACCTAAACAGTACATACCGATAGAAGCATAGGCTTCGTGGATCGCGCATAACTTGACACTACATCATTGCATTCGGTTCAGTTTTGCACCTTCACACAAATCTCAGATACCCCCGGCCGACCCAAAAAAGAGGCATCTCATCAAATGAGCGGCGTCCGCGCTGCGTCACACTTCATATACTAGCAACAAAACTGGTTACATTATCATTTCTCAATACCCGGCATCGACCCCTGCACTTCTTTTTATTGTATATATCATGCTCTTCAACATACTCATCGGATGGGCACCAAGGGACAAGGCATTCATCTGGCGGCGTTCATTACCACATTTTTTATTTTATCTTCATTTTCTTACACCCTGCGAGGCTTCGTTATCTTGGACCTGTTCACAACCCGACGAAGCAAAGCGGATTCTTTTTTTTTTTTCTTCTTTTCCTTTTGCAAAGTCCATTTTTGTTCTGTGCTTTTTGATTTTAGAGAAAATGGGCGCTATGCAATCAGGATGCTTACGGAGGTCCCTTGGAGCGAGCAACCGCAGAACCCCCGACAGTCGATCGCTATCTAAACAGGCAACAACGACATTCCTCTTACCAAATATTTTTTTTTATTTCCACAAATCGTTTTTCTTGATCTTAACTGGGTGTGGTTCATAGGGATGAAGGGAAAATTTCAGGGAAGAGCATTTCGCCAGTGGTCCCTTTGAGGACAGGAAGTAGACAAATGACGTTGGCGTCGTCATCTGAGATCGGTCCCCGACTGGCGCAAGTCCATGGGGTTTTTTATTATTATTATGGCATTTTGATTTTTGTTACATCTCTTCTTCTCTTTCTGTTTTCCCCTATATTCTTATTGATGGACACCGAGGGAAGAGGAAGTACTACTCTCTGGCTATTGGGCTCTACAAAGGCGTAGGGCACAAACACAAACACAGTATTAGCTGATTTTCTTTTTATTAATTGTAAGAGTAGCCGGATGCGCAGATACCACAATGGTGAGGGATGGAAAGTGGGTCGGTTGCATCGAAAATAGGAAAGAGAAGAAGACCATCACATCATGTTCTTTTTTTACTGGGTCAAGCAACATATCTTGTTCCATACTATTTCTTAAGCCTCGAAAAACAGCGTGACATCTGACTTGGCCATTTACGAACTGAGCGTGACACCTTTATCCACTTTTTATTTTTCCCTCCATCTTAATCGACCCTGCCAAAGCCCGGGCCCCGCTCCGGTATCCTCTCTCTCTCTCTCAACAGGCGCGCGGGCGGATATGACCGTTCCAATAGATTGGGTTTTGGGACAGGCAAGACGAACCTCGCTTGCACGAAAGCGCAAGGGCATGCCTGGAGAGCCAAAGCCGTCAAAGTGGGCTGGCGGGCTATAACTAGCCGCAATTTTGGGAAATCTCCGCCGTGGGAATTGTATGATGTAGATGAGAGCATACGTGCCTTTCTCCGCTTTGTTTCGGGGGCCCCTTGGAAGGAAGGAATAAAAAGAGCAGAGCGTAAGTGACAAAAAAAAAAAAAAAAAAAAGCCAGCCAGCCTTTTGGTGGTATCCGTAAGGTAAGCAAGCCCACCCCTCCTCCCCTTTTTCCACCCCTCCTCCCCTTTTTCCACCCCTTTCCACTTCTTCTTCCTCCCCCCCCCTTCTCTCTCCCACGCCCGGTTCCTCGTGACTGGAAACGATACAAGAAGAAAAAAAAAAGACAAATTACCCGATGGGACGGGCTGGACGGGACGGGTAGCATCTCATCGCGATTTCGATTCGATGAGATGTAAGCGTACTAGGGGGGTTTAGGTGGAGATGGGACCCGCGCGGGGCGAATTATGCATTTTTTCCCTTTTATCCTTTCTTATCCTTTCTTATTCTTTTTTTAATCCTGCCTGTTTATCCGTAGTCCTGCAGCACTCCCCGTTATTCTTTTTTTTTTTTTTTTTTAAACCTTCCTTCCCCTTCCAATTCCCGTACGATAAGCGGGCCGGGAATCTCGGAGAGCGGACCTTGCTGTTATGAGAAGTGATCATAAATGAACCACCGCTCTCACTCACTAGATAACGTAACGCAACATCAGCACCAACCATTTAAATGTGTAGCGGCGGGATGGGGAGGGGGGCAATCACCATTAGAATGAAAGTTTAAAAATAAATGTAAGGTCTTTGTAAGCATAGAAGGCGATGAAGCGAGATTTAAACAATCATTGATCAAATCTCGTGGCGTGGGGCGTTTTTTTTTTTTTTTTTTCTCCCCTTCCTTTCTTTCCACCAGATCTATCTGCCTGCCTCTTCTCCCTTTTCCCAGGGTTCTCCGATCGGAGGGGAGGCGAAGAGGGAAGGGGGGAGGGGGGTGGGCTGGTAGAACTGTCTTCCTAGGATGATAATTGGCGGACCCATACTCCGTATAAGGCGCAAGAGACTCACATATACATACTCCGTACTACGTGTATGTAATTGCACAAAAAATGCGTGACTAAACACCGAAATTGTCACGCCATGTCATGTCACGGCATCCGTACATGCCATGTGTCAAGGATCAAACAGATGGACGAGAGCAAGATAAAAAAAAAAAAGGATCAAGGGAAAATGAATGCGCTCGGAATTGACATGCCGGGCCTACCGGGAAGTATGGTGGAGCAATTGCTCCAGAGGGGTCCAGAAGGTTGAGAAATCTTAATACGCGCGGATAATGATAAGGTAGCTCGCTCGAAACAGGATGATCTCTAGCAACAACCTTTTTTTTGGTTATGTTTTCGGCCGTCAAGATCAAGAATGGGTCAGCTTTTCCCGAGGTTTCCCTGCCGTCCACCCCCCCGAGCAACCCAGAGTTCCTTGGTCACAAGGACCTCCCTTGCCTGACATGTCTCCTCCCCCCCCCCCCCCCCCCCCCCCCCCCCCCGTCCGATGGGGGAACAACATCTAACTGGCAAGTTCCCTGCTTGGCAAGGTCGACCCGATTCTCGGTACCGCCAGGTATTCTATTTTACTCTGGGCTTGCCTTAAGGCTGGGACGACATTATCTTGTTACGGGGGACTGCAAGGCTACCCCATCACATGAACCTCTGACATGCGCCTGCATCTGAGCTCATTGCGTTTTGTCAATGTGTGTGTGTGAGAGAGAGAGGGGTCCGTTAGCGTTGACGGACACATGGCAAATGACACATGCGGTATATGTGGCTGCGGTCCTTTCGCTACGCTGTGACACGAGCAGGAGGAGGAGGAGGAGGAGGAGGAGGAGTAGCAGCATCAATAATGGAGGCAATAGCATCAAATCGCTCATTGCAAAAATAAATAAATAATAATAATAATAAATGCTAAAGCAGAAACAAAAGTCAGAGAGGAGGTATTTTAGGTTCTGTAATACCTCCGTCATATCACAACCAAAGTTCGGATTAGGGGGGGTGGGTGTGTGTCTATTCTTTTTCTTTTTTTTGGTTTTTCTAAATCTTCCGCGTGCGACGACGACGAAGACATCGTGTACGAGGCCAACCACATGCGGACCATTACCGAAGAGGGGGATCACAGATCGTAAACGGGTAGCTTGCTTGTTCATATCGGCCTTTCGTGGGACGTTTTACAGGGTCCACGAGGAGAGGAGGGGGGGAAGGAAGAATTGATGAAGGGATGAGCAATGAGTGAACTCTTCTTGTTGCTGACGCTGCAATCGCTGCCGCCCCCCCCCCCCCCCCCCTTCCCTCGTGGTGTAATGTAACCAACACCACCGCCGTCGCCGCCACCAACCACGACCAAAGCAAGTCGCAGGTTTGGCAACTCGAGCCTGTTGTCGTCGTCGTCGTTGTCGTACAGATGGACATATGTGAGTGAATGAGAAGGGAAAATGGGGGGGGTGGGCGCATGTCAGTCAATGTTGTCTGTTTACGTCTTACGGCCGCAGGAAGGGACAAGAATCTGGAGCAACCCCAAACACACACACACACACAAGACGAGGAAACAGAATGAGGGCGGTTTTGTTTTCCCCGGCCACATTTCTCAGCGGATGCGTATATTTACGATGTCGGGGGATGTTGGCGATGGCCGAGCTGGTACTTGTCTTTGTGGGATGTGAGTCGTCACATTATCTCACATCTCCACGGGCCTCTCTCTGCCACTGAGAAGGGTGAGATTTCCCTGGCTGAGTGAGCTGCTCTCTCGTCCGTGTCTTGTCTCTCGGGCCAGCGCTCGCTCTGTGTAGTCCAATCGTTTGGATGCGAACCACACCTTCTCCCCCCCTCAAAACGATTCCTTCCATTTTCTTTCTTTCTTTCTTTTTCCTGGCTTTTGGTGCGGCTGTTCGGTTCGGTACTCATCTGCGTCTTGGGCTTGTTTGGTTATTTCTCATTTCCTCCTCCCCCCACCACCACCTGGGCTTTACCGCTCTTGGTCTCTCCCCTCTCCAAATTCCCACACTGGCTGGTCCTAGCCTTAAACTTGTGGCTGAAGGGAGAAGAAGACGAGATCCTTCGATTCCGCGCCAACGAACACCACTATTGACTGGTATGGTCTTCTGTGAATTCTAGCTCCGGTTCCATTACCACTCGAAATACGACATGTCACCAAAAGCAAATGAGACGGGGCTGTCTTGTTCGTCTCACCATCAAGTATGTCTTGGCTTTCACGAGGTCGGGCGTTCACCCTCAGTCAACTCTTGGCATGCGGAATGATGCTTTTCAGACTGTAATTCTTTCCTTTGATACTGTGTACCATACAATAATCGAACGACCGACCGTCCTCGGTCGGCGAGGTTTGCAGCTTGCGGTTCCCTTGCAGCACCGTTCCAGCTGCCAGTTTACTAGCATGCCCAGGGGGTGTGGTGGTCGTTTGGACTACTACTGGAATTTAAAGAAAAAAAAAAGAAAAAAAAAGATTAAAGCAGGGTGAAAATAAAGGCTGACATGCGCAGGGACGTGGGGCTCCCGTCCCGCACATCAACCATGCGAGATGTAATATGTCCATGCCCTGCGCCGGCGTCA